GTGGTGTGAGCCACAGGAGCTGGGGCTGAGCGTGCCTTGGTGGGGCTCCTGGTGTGGCCGTTTTGTCTGTGCCTCGCAATTTTCTTTGTCTGTCTCTAGGACCCAACAAAGGTCCCGATTACTCGGGAGGGTCTTGCTCTGGGCTTACATCTGGACAGTGAGGTTAGGATTTTTGTTCTTTCATCCCTTTCCCAAGTTCTGTCCCGCTTCCAGCTGCAGGGGCCAGATGTGCCTGTGAGCAAGGGGCTGAGTGCTGCACACAGCCTGCCTCGACCCGGGCTCTGCATCCCTTCGCTTCACCTACCAGCTGGTAAGACAAGCCTTCAGCAATGGCATCCATGTGCCCAGGGTTTTCTACTTATCTGGGGTGGCGTTGGAGCCCCCCGCGGTGCCCCCATCCCCAGCCGCGCTCACTGCGGCTCCTGCAGAAGCAGCGGGCACTGAGGGCTCCCCCGACACCGGCTGGGAGGGCTCCTGGGAGCTGCCCGAGGCCCCGCTTCTGTGCCGTGCACAAGGCGAGATGAAAATGTGCTGGAAATGCTGTAAATCTGCCTTCCCCAGGGCAGAGATTGGCGATACACTCGAGTCCTGCATCAGCCCAGTGTGCAGCAGTGCGCCAATGAATATAAGCCCAGCTCTTCCGTTAATTATTCGGTCATTCGGGTATCCAATTTGGGTTTTTGTCCCACTCCTAGGCTAACGCGTTTCTTCTTCTATTTTATTCTCTCATGGCTGCAAGTCCTACCTGTGCCACAGCCCCCCCGTGAGCCCCGCATGTCGCTATCTGCAGTTTCAGGGAATCAGATCTCAGTGTTTCTGATCAGGGTCCAGCTGGAACCACACATCTTTGTTTCATGTATTTAATATACTCAAAATGCACTAAATGACAGTTTATAATATCATTATCAACAGTTAAAGACATTATAACTTCAAGAAATGAAAAGAAAGTGCAGCCATATGTGGAAATGCTTTATTTTGTGCACTTTTAACCCTCGCAATAGCTCAGCTGCGAAAACGGGGACTGCAACGCGAGGCAGGAAAAAAATTCAATGTCTGCAAAATCATTTTTCAGTTTTCCCTGCGCTGTTGTCATGAAAGAGCGCTGCACTATTTGGATGGTAAATAACAACCGAGGACTAATTTATTTTTCTTCATAAAATTATTTCTTGAATTGGATTCAAATGTGTTCCTTATTACACGGTTTGATAATTCAGTGATGCTTTCCCCCCATAACATACGAGCTGATTTAAACCTTCACTCCAAACAGCCTCGGGCTTATTAAGAACAGTGTGGACTGAGTATGGATTAGGTTTAAAAGTAATAAAAAAGTAGACCTGTTGGTTAGGTGAAAAATTCACTATCAGATTCCTGAGTGCAGCTTTCTTTTCATGTGCAAACTGCATTAAATGAGGCATTTAATTCAACAAATCCATAGTTCTGATCCACCAGAAATAGAGACTGGGTTAGTTCAATTTGTAACAAACGATCTCCATATGATCAAAGTCCTGAGAGCTGATTCCAACATACTGCTTAAATTAGTCTAACACCGAAGTGTTTGGCTCTGGGACAATATTTGGAATGTCTTACCAGAAGAAAAATTCCTCCGCACACATGGTTCCAATATCGGGGAATGCCAACCTTGCTTTTTAATGGGCTGACAGGGAGCCTCCGTGCTAACTTTCTGACTCCAAAAAGTTCTTGTGCTGTCACCCGCAAACCAGCTTGGATAATTTTTCCTTGGCTTCCTTATTAAAGCCTGAATGAAGGGATTGTGTGGCTTTCTTAATGTCACTTGGTCTGCTTGCCATAAATTCAGGCACTCATGATGAAAGCTCCACTTATATTTCGCTGGGAAATGGAATCAAGGAGAATGCACCCTCGTTCACAATAAATAACTAAAGTTGAGTTATTAAGTGTATTTCATATACCAGCGCCTTATTACATCAGCAGTTTAGATAATGGCTTCTTAAAAATATTTCTCCACCGAAACCCACGAAGAGCGGGTTGCACATAGGCGTCCCTGTGCGCGGAAAGCAAACCAGCCGGCCGCGGCAATAACTTAGGCCTGTATTAACAAATAGCGAATATTTACATTTTTACATGCTGCTGTCTGTTCAGATTAAGCAACCATCGCGCTAGCGGCAGCGAGCGGGGAGAGCTGTGCTGGCTCGAGCCCCGACACAGAGCCCAGGGCTGGGCCGGGGCTCGCTGCAGGCAGGGGGACGCGAGCTGCTTGCTCCCGAGCCCCGCCAGCCCTGGCCCTGAAGCAACCAACAATATTTTCAAAGGCCACAGCTGGATTTCTTCTCATTTTTTTATTTTTTATTTTTATTTTTTATGGACCATCTTAATGTGAAATTTGTTGCTGCAATTAAGCCAGAAGGGTGCCAGGCACCTATGCACGTACCGCGAACGCGCACATCGTTCTTTACATTTTTACACCGCTATTATACACGCAGTGGGCTGTAATAAATCGGTGTTCACCCAGGAACAGACAGGACTGACAGTGAGTAAATGCCCCGATTAGCATGTTATTGTGACAACTTTGCAGCTCCCCCCGGTTTGTTGCCATACATTTTGGATGCCGATGAGATTATTTCTAAGTCTGTGCTAAGCATCGCTTGGTATTTCATGGCAAACGGAAGAGGAGAAGGAGGCAGAATGAAGGATGAAAGGTTGGCACTCAGAAATTCAGCAAACCCGCTGTTTTCATGGTAACTCTTCTGAACAGGTGGCTAAGTAAGCCAATTAAACAGACTTTAAGAACAAATTATGATCGTAATCCATTGTCTGGGATCATTGAAATGCGCTGGGTGGAATCTGTTCCCCAGAGCTGCCTGAATAATGAAAATCTATTTTGGTGTAATTTTATTGTTTTCCTATCTTCATTAGATGTTCAGAGAAGGAGCTCTCTCTCTCTCTCTTTTTTTTTTTTCTTTTCCTTTTCCTTAGGGGCGAATGGAGGGTGAAGGAAACCAAACATCTTCTACAGTTTATGAAAAACAGCCTTTTAAAAAAAAATAAATATTAACACGTAAGGACATCTTTTCCTTTAAATAATACACCAGTTTGCTAATGACATTTTATAACTATTCTAGAGAAGGAAATTTCTAGTATAACTTGAAAACCTTCAATAACATGGTAGACATTAATGAAATAAATCTCAAAACGTTTTTGACGGAAACATCTCGATCAACAAAGTGTCTGTCAAAGGCCAGTAAAAAAGTGTGAAATAGCAGAGATACCAGCTGTGGGCCCATAGCCCCAGCGGAGGGCTCAGGGAAGCAGGAGCAGCTCTCCAGGGTTGGGGAGAGACTGAGGGAGGGGAGGAGGACACTGAAAACCTTCTGCTTCAACCCTCCTGTCCTCAGCACTTTGCATGTCACTGGTGGACGTTTAAGGCCCCGACAGAAAGGCCTTTGGGCTGAAGCTGGTGGTGTCCAACACAAACCATCATCTCCTCTGCACAGTCTTGCTCAGGGACATGCTGGAGGTGATTAAAAAAATCACACCAACCGATGGGCACCACTATGGATTCACATCATAGAAGAGGGCAGTGGGAAATTTAGGCCGGGGTTTTCCAGACAGCCCGGCACCATCGGGGGCTGATTCTGCCCCCACACAAAATGGGCCACGCGACTTGGTCAGTGTAGGAGAACGACAGCCACCACCCATCCCAGGACTGTGCCACGTGGACCCGTCCTCGCCTTCCTCTGCCCAAATCGCCAGCAACGCCCCTGCCTCTATCGGCTGCAGTGCTACAGGTTGCTATGGGTCTCCTTTTATTTTATTTTTTTTCTTTTTAAATCTGGGACAGAAAAGAGTTCTCCAGAATTATCTCAGGCCATCGTATGGTAACGACTCCGTGCTGCCACGTAGGGCTGCATGAACTGGTGACCTAGGGACAAAATAAATTACGTGCAAGCTGAGGGCTGGCGATGGTGAGTGACAGAAGAATGGCACTCCAAATTGTGTTCAAGAGATTCTGTATTCATTTAAGAAATGTGACTGTTTAGCCAATTTATTCATTTGACAAGTTCCTTTTTAACCATCTTAATTCACCATTTAGCCTGCGATGGCCTTCATTAGTTTATTAGATATTCATTGAAAGAGATTTTTTAGCATAAATACAGTTCCAGAGAGGATTACTGCACAGGGAATCTATTCTTTTAGCCTCCTTATTCGGATATCAAGTATTTGTTGAAATGGTCTCATATTTACTTAGTCCCTTAATGAAGTCTAGAAAAGCTTTTCTGCAAAGGGAATATTGTTTTGTCAAAATTAGCTTACTTAAATAGTTTTCAAAGTCGTCTCAGAACAAAGATTTCAAAGATACTGCGCCAGCCTAATATTTACTTTTTACACCGTACGGTAGTTTAGACTTGCCAGGAAAAGTGCACTTGCTTTTTTGTGTTGTTTTGTTTAAATTTCTCTGTTTCTAGTTGTGAGATATATATGTCATTTCTAGGGGTATGGAACTAATTGAGGAATATGTCCTGCCCTTGTTGAGGTGAACAGGGCAGATAAATAAAAACTCCATTGGACATAAATCTCCTCCACTAACATCAAAGAAACAGGATCCTGCTAAGTGTATTTGTATAATGCAGTAATTTATGCAAAAAGCAGCTTTTGTCAGCAATGCAACAAAGCAGCTTTGATAAATGTCCCCTAATTTATTGTCATGTATCTCAAATCAAAGTAAAACATTTACAGCCTGCACACTGAAGGAACCCAGGCCCAGGGCACTTAAAGGGTTTCTCTCCCTCTCCATCTCCCCCTCCTTTTTTTTTTAAAGTACAAAAAGCTAAGTTGGGCAAAAGGTTAAAAAGGCTCTGTTTTGAATGCTAAGTACTTTATACAAATTACGGGAAAAATATTAACGGAGCTGCTTAAAGAACGAGAGAAAAGCCTGTACAAATTCAGATTAAAAATCCGCTTAGCTTTTCTCTTATGGGTGATGTTTAACAAATCATAATGCAGCCACAAATTGTGTTTTACAGGGACAATCCCAGCAGCTCATGTTCTGAAAAAGGCGTAAACCAGTGACAGGGAAAGGTAAGTGTCTGGCTCCAGTGCTTCGCTGCCCATCCCTCCTACCAGGCCTGTCCTGTGCGGGGCACAATTTAAGTCAGCTCAGACGTGAGATCTTTGGGTGATGTGTTATCAGTGGCCATGGCGGGGTTGGAAACTGGACCCTAGAGGAGCAAAAGGCCAAAGAGCCAAGAGCTGCATCCCCCCGAAGTGCCGCTGTTGTGTCCATGCCTCAGAAGCTCCTTGGCTCGAGCATCTCCCAACTTCTTGGCAGAATCGCCCTACCTACAGACCCAGTCCCAAGAGGGCCATTTTGTAATTAAAGGGCCTCATTAAGGGGTGTGACTGATAAGGCGCAGTCTGAAATGGGGTGGCCGTGACGCAGGGGAGCACTTGGGAGCCCCCGTGTCCGGGCAGGGCGCCTTCGGCCTGGCCGCCGTCAGGAGGTGCCGCCAGGAGCATGCCCCCAGCCCCACGGCCCTCATGGGGCCACGCGCGTCCCACCTGGCTGCCAAGGGTCGGGCGGCCTCGGGGTGGCCTCGTTCGTGTCCCTAGGCCGGGAGGTGAGGGGGAGCAGCACGGGGCGAGGTGGGATGAGAGGAGCTGGGACTGCCGTGTGGGCACGGCCTCCAGCAGCAGGTCCGGCCATGGCGAAGGGGCAGAGGGCGCCCTGTGGCCCATGTCTGGAGACAAAGCTGGGCACAGGCCTCCTGGGGATCGACTGGTTGGCCATCAGCTCGCCTCTGAACGCGGGGAGTGCGCTCGGGGAAGGCCTGGAGTCAGCTCACGGCAGGGAGACCACTGAATGCCCGGCGGATGATAAATTAAAACTACGTGGGCTTTTCAGTCACCCACACTGCCTCCCAGTTAAAAAGACCCAAAGTGATACGGCTGCTCCTCCACCCTCTTTGATATCTGGGGGGGGGGGGGGGGGCGATAAATTCTGCTCTGTTTCAGCAGGGATCTAGTGCAGCTCCACATGTCAGATTGCTTCAGAAGTAGACAGCATTTCTATGTTTTTTACTTAGAAAGCTCTGTTTATAATAAAACAAACATACAGCTTCAGGAGTATAATATCCTTTGAGTGGAGTTGTTTCAAAGTGTTTTACAACCCATCTGGTAGACTGACTCGAACCATTAGGCGTGTTCTTGGAGAAAATGCTTTATTCACACAGATAGAAGTATGTTTCTGGTACTGCAAACCAGGAGAATGAAACTTTGCAAATCCGGGCCTGCTGCACCATAAAACAGAGCCATGAGTTCCCTGAGAAAGTGAAAAGGAGATGTTGAAAAAAAAAAAGGAAAAAAAAGTACTTTTATTTTCTTTGTGTAGCAGTTGTGCCTGCTGGGAACGGAGTCTGCCTCACGCCAGTGCCACCACTCCTGAGAGGCCAAGTCATCGGCACGCGGAGCCCACACTGCAAATCCCCGTGCCTGCTGGTCTTAAGACACATTCAGATGGTAAGTCAATAAGTTAGTATCATAATTACTAGGGTTATCATTAAAATTTTATAAAAAGGATTCTGCAGCCACAATCAGAGAAATGAGAGCTTTGCACTTAGCAAAGCTGATCACAGGTGCTACGTCTGAACCACAGGAACACCTTCGGCAGCTGCAAGGCTCGAGGGGCATTCTGCAGGAACAGGTGGGTTGTTTAAAGATATTTATAGATAGATGTCTCTCTCTCTGTGTATACACACACGTGCATATGTGTAAATTGTTACACATGCAGATATGTGGACATAGCAAATTATGTGTATGTACCTGTACAAACATATATATAAATCTATGTGTATAGTCTCTAAATAGACCTATACACATGCATGTCTACATCCATATAGCAGGAGCTATAGCTCTATACTAACAAACATATATTTATGTGTGTCATATATGTCCATATACCTGGATATAAAGCCATATATCTGTGTGTATAGCCATGTATGTCCTTATCGATATGTCTGACTACTGCCTGCATCCCTTCCACTGATGCTACAGCAAAGCTGAAGGCTCTGAGTGGGGAGTGCTGGGGTGGAAATGCCTCTGCACATGCTCGGTGCTCAGGAGCTGCAACAGCCTCTATTTTAAAATGACACACATGAGATTTAACATGAAGCCACGCTGGCTGCTGGTCAGTTGTCCCCTGGCATTCCTTGCCCCTGCTGTTGGGGCAGGGTGTCCCTGGGAAGCTGGCAGCACACTGGAACCACAGCGCTGAGGGGCCTGTGGCAGTGCCATGGCTCACGCCCTACCTGAGCAGTGGAGTAGACAACAAAGAGATGGCGAGAGGAGCAGGGCGGGTGGTGGCGAGCCCTGCCTGCTGCAGGAGCCCGCCGGGCTGTGATGGAGAGCCAGCACACAGGAGGGAGCTGTCTGGGGCCCGCATCTGGCCGGGATGCCTGGGAGGTCACAGGAGAGCCTCAAGTTAAAGTATTTAAAATAAAAATTAAGATAGAGAGAATGAGAAAGTGGCATGGTCAGCAGAGCTTTTCTGCAGGCCTGTCATGTCCATGTCAGCCTCCTGCAGGTACCCGAGAGGCTGCTCAGGTGCAGCACCAGGGACCTGCAATATGCTGCTGACGTTTTACAGGTCTGCTGAGATAGGTGCTAGTGCGAACACACCCAGCGCCCTCAGACCCTCAGACAGTCCTCCTGGATCCATTTTTCTTTCTTTCTTTCTTTTTTTTTTTTTTTTGCATTGATGGGCTTTGTGATGAAATTTTATCCTGATACGTTTAAAGCAGAGACAGCTGTGAGTAGCTGTTAAATAGACACAAACAAGAGCTCGGGCCAAAATATGCGTGTTCAACACAGCTCTTTAGCTATAAGTTGTGCTACGAGACCACAAAAATGAAGAAACTAAAACATATTAATTGTTTGAAATGGAAACACTCTCTTTTTAAAGTCAGGCACCCTTTTTAAATGTCTTATTTAAGTGTTGCGTTGATGTCTAAGTCGCTGGAGCCCCTTTATCTCAGGGCACTTATTTTGTGAGTGGTACGTTTTGACACATGGTTTTGGTTTATTATGTAATGCTTCAATAAATAAATGCAAATTACCAATAATGATCTTTATAATCTGAAACATAACAAAAATCAAACTTTTTTTTCACATAAATAGATGGAGAATTTTTTTTTTTTGTTTCTTTGTCTCATTTTGCAAATTACTCTGTCTGACACAGATACAGGTTTCAAAGAAGTTCACATTCAGTGTGAGCAGCACAAATTAAAAAAAAAAAAAAACACACACACAACAAAAACAAATCCCCCCCCCATCTTGGAACGTGTCATTAAAACCACATGGACTTTAAATTCTTGTTCTCATACAGCAAATTGCATTAGCAGATTTTGACCTCAAGACTAAGCCACGTTACATGTGTGAAAGGCCCAGCATCTCTGCTCTGATCCGCAGCACCGCTCCTGCATACTGAGTAAGTAACTGCAGCCTACTGATGTAATAGCATCCTGCATATGTCTCATATTAATGGTATTTTCCTAATAGTAATAGCATTAAAAGCCTGCCTACTTTGCTATTGAGTTACTCTATTTAGGATAATTTGCCCAGAAAGACTATCCTTGAGCATGTGAACAGCCATATCATTTTATAACACTTAACTTAAAAATATCAAAATCAAAGCAAGCTGACAGTTTGATTCCAGAACTAGTATTTTTCCATTAAAAAAAAAAAAAATCTGTTGTGTTTCCTGAATAATTTATTATCTGGATTTTTGTTGTATTTTCCACATGGAATTGATGAAGAAAAAATACTTTTTTTTTCTAAAGAAAGTTTGGACGAGCGAAAATTCACACATGGAAAACAAATGAGCATCGGGAAACACTCCTCGTAGCTAATGGCTACTTGGTATGTCGCCAGAATTCATACAGATCCTTAAAATCAAGTAAATTATGCCCGTAGTGATAGCTCCCTTTCGCTGGAGTCCCACAACAAGCACCAAATGGTGGAGCGGAGCAGAACTGCCAAATTCCATTTTTCACCTCCCGATTCCTTTCAATTAAGCAGCCTCATTTCCAGCAGAAGGGCCTATGCATATTTTATGGCACCGCGGCGGGGTGCACCGCGCACCTCTCCCGGCTCGCCTGCCGCGCGCCAGGCCCCGCTCGCACACCGCAGGCCCCGCGGTGCTCGGCCCCGCTCGCTGCCCGCACGTGCCCGCGGCCCAATCCTGCCCGCGCCGAGGCCGGGGAGCTGCAGGGGGCTTTGAAGGCAGGTTTGGCCTGCAGGAGATAAATCAGCACCAGAGGGGAGCGCAGCCAGGCACACACACACACACACACACACACAGACGTCTTCCTTACGCAGCCTGCTGAAGGCTCAGGCCATGCAAAGGAAATCATCACGAAGCGGACGCCTTCCTCTCGTGGGCTGCTCGTTTGATAGGGGATCGCAGGCATTCACAGCGCTGTCGAATGCGGAGGTTAAGAAACCTGCTGCTCAGTTAGACAACTGGTGAATTTGTGCTAGAAAAAATAGGATGGATTACACCAATATCGGTTAAGACTGCAATAAATATTTATAAACAATCTTCCTTGCAAAACACATCTCTATCATTCATTTCCCTGCGATGAAAAATCTGGAACAATGGAACTAATGACAACATTGTTCCAAAGTTAAATAGTATATCTAATAAGGAAAACACTAAAATGAGCCAAATTCCTTATGAACACAACAGCGAAGCAATTAAAATAAATGTGATTTTCCAGATCAAAACTTCTGGCTGTTAATTGCTATATGGCACCTATCCTAGTCATATGAGTTTCCCTTGCAGCTGTTTTTATTTCATGATCCATGCTGAACTCCCCGGAGCCCAGGCCTGGGCTCTGACATGGAGACAGCCTGCCTGAGCACCGAGATCGCTGCCGCCCGGCGCCTGCGGTGCCCTCTCAGGACAAGCCTTGGCGGAGAGGCTCTCACCATTTCACGTTGTTGGCCGTGTGGTTCCAGTGCAGAAGCTGTGTTGCCTGCTGCACCGCCTTTTAAATCCCAGGATGACTTTTTTTGGGGGAGAAGTAAGAGGCTGTCCATCATGTGCTTTCCTAATGGTGGTACTGTGCTGCTAATGCTCTACATCTGACTGCTTCTCCCACTTTTTCTCTCTCTCGCTCTCTCTTTTTTTTTTTTTTTCCAATTTATGCCCTGCCCGAGCGCAGCAGCCATGGGTAGGGCACTGCAGCCTCGGCAGGGCCAGGGTTCTTTAACCCACCTCACGTTGCCCCCAGAGCTCAAACCACACGCTGGAAATCTGGCACGCTCCAGCCGGCTCACTTGAAGCTGTATTTTAGTATCTGTGGGTTATTAATGAGATTAAAGAACTCCGTTACAGGGAATGACAACTGCAGTTTGTCCAACATTAAGCAGATATTGGCATCCTTAGGTGCGAGTCGGGAGGCAGTGATCTCAGATATTGAACAAGCTAAAGCCATGAGCAATATGATATTGATTAGACAATGGGTATTGTATTTACCCACATAGCTTTATTGGGTGAGGCTCAATGTGATGTGTTTTTATTTGGGAAACTTAAGGAAGATAATTAAAAATGTTGTAAGCAGAGCCCAACAGCCTTCGTGCTTTGCTTTTTAAAGGCTGCAGATGTCCTGTCTTCTTTCTGTAAAACTGCATGCGCTCCCTCTCCACCTTCCAAAAGATCAAGGGTAATAATAACAACAATAATAATACAGTGTCCTGGAATTTTTCTACATGCCTCAAGAGAACTCTAATTTTTTCCAGAAACTGTTTTCTGACAACAGCCGCCTCTTGGTCTTTTCCTGTTACCCAGTATGGATTTCCAGTGCTGTTGAGGCCAAGTAGAAATGGTGTCTTTGGATATCAGGCCTTTCATGTCGAAAACACCTCTCCTGCTAAACAAAGCCGTGTAGAGGAGAACAAAGCCAGTGCCTGGGGTTGGGCTGCCCCCCGAAGAAGGAGCACCATGGCACAGAAAGCAGGGGCGCTGGGAGCAGCTTTCCCCACCGCTGCCACCATGGAGCAGCGAGACTGTTGGTACCAGCGGCCTCACAGGGGAGGAGAGGCACAGAGATCTTCCACGTTAATTTTTTAATTTTTGAGCAGTGCTGAGAAGCTGGTCAACCTCAGAGTCATCCAGAGAGAAGGCCTGGAGCTGAGGTACTGCTTTGTACTGCACACATCCATAATGGGCACACGCACTATGGCACACGTGCAGGAGGCCAGCCCGCGCTGCCCTCAGCCCTGCCTCCCTGAGGCTGCCACGCCGTGAGGTGCGCTGGGCAGCCCCGACCCGATGTGCAGGGAGTGCCATGAACCGTGGGCACCTCAGCCCAGCACACGGTGATGGGGATCTCTTCGGGATCCTCACACCCTGTGACATCTTCACCCAGCAGTCCGAGGCACCCCCAGCGAGCACGTCCTGCCAGCCTGTTCTGCTGTTTCACCCATCAATTGCATTCCCTTTCCCCGAGGCATTTTTTTTTTTTTTTTTGTAATCCCACAGCAATACCACGGTTGCCAGCCCAGCATCACGTTCCTGCCTTTCATCAGAAGGCTGACTCACAGCATCTTTTAGTTTGGGCTCACTTTTTTTTCCATGGTTCCTTGGCCCAAGCAGCCGCGGGCAGGCGCCCAGCCCAGGGCTGAAACCAGCCCTGCATTTTGGCCATCCTCCTTGCCCCCGGGAAGCTTACCGTGCCGAGGCTGTTCAACCTGAGCGTTTCCCCTCCTTCCATGGGCGGCTGCTGCTCTAATTCCTCAGGCTTCTGGCCACGGGGCTTTTAATTTTTTCCTCCAGTTTGGTTCACCTCCGGTGCACCAGAGCTGCTGCCGGCCCCGGTCCCATTGGGGAGGCAGCTTCTTGCAGCCGCCGCTGCCTCCTCCGCTCTCCAACCTGATGCTTCCCAGCCCCGGGCTTCGCAAGGGGAGGCAGAGGCAGCGTGTGCCGAGCCTCCATCTGCACCACATCATGGGAATACAAAATGGCACCAAGTCCGACTTCTCCTCATTAGATGTGGGCAAACTTGGCTGGAGCGCAAGTGCGAAAGCTCATCTTTCTTCAGCTGCTTGTAATTCGGGCTTGAGCAAGAGCATTATTTGGGGCTTAAGTCAGTCTTCTAAGTAGGTCACAATTCTTCTCCTAGACCCAAATTCCTGCCTGTGACTTCTCAGAAGCGTGGATCCTTACTGGTCTCGGGATTTGTGAAGCACCTCGGGTGCCCTCTTATCAGCTTCATCAGCTCCTCAAATGAAGCCACAAAACAACCAGTCACTAAGTTGCTGCCTGCTTAGGGTTCAGACTTGGAAAAATTCCTCTGCCTTGGGTGGCAGCCATTTCTCTGTCTCATTTGCATGTCTGATTTTCCCGTTTTAGTGATACTCCACTACTAGCCCTGTAAAAAGGTAAAAGGACACATCCTGCAACTCCTCTGGTCATTGCCTCAGTGGAAGGACAAAAGGCGATGGAGATGGCCAGGAAGCTCCAGCCCATATGGAGTTGGCTGTCTGAAACAGATGCAGTGCAGTCTGTGCTATAAAATGGAATTCATTTTAGTGGTGCAGAGACTGATTCCCCAAATCATCACAGCATGTGTTAGACATTAGTCCTAGTCTTTAGTGTAGCACTATAAGGGCTTCGGACACACCCGGTGATAAAATGGGGAAGGGAAGGGAAGGGAAGGGAAGGGAAGGGAAGGGAAGGGAAGGGAAGGGAAGGGAAGGGAAGGGAAGGGAAGGGAAGGGAAGGGAAGGGAAGGGAAGGGAAGGGAAGGGAAGGGAAGGGAAGGGAAGGGAAGGGAAGGGAAGGGAAGGGAAGGGAAGGGAAGGGAAGGGAAGGGAGCACAATGCGACACCAAACAATACAACACGGCACAATGCAAGGATGGTTTAGAGCTTTTCGGTCACCGGTTGGATTTGGCTTTCTGGTGGTTCTGCAGAACAGTTCTGCATGCCAATAGCAGCTCGCAGCCCTGTGTCTGAAAATTACCATAATTTGTTTTTTTCAAGCATGTAGAAAGAAAGAAGTTTTACCTCCCCACCAGCGGAGGGATGTGTCTAGACTTTAACAAGGAATGGGAAACGTGACCCAAGCAAATGCCATATCGCTCACTAGAGGAGGAGCCTCAGAGGTAAGTGTGGTTTTAATGCTCACTTGGCCAAGGGAGATCATCCATAGCGGTGGGTAGTACTAGTTAGCAGGCATTTCTCTGCAGTACTCTTCCAGGTGTTTTTTTTTCTTTTTTCCTTCCCCCCCTCCCCCCCCCCCCCCCCTTGATTACAACTTTGGTGTGCAGTGGTGGAATGCTGGAGCTGGATCAGAGCTTGGTTCTGTGGTCACCTTTGTATCACTGAAATGAGTTGAAGTGCTATTTTACAATGGATTACAGGATGCCCGCAGCTTTTATGTTTTATTTTTGTTTCTGTGAGGTTATTTTTCACTTCCTCTTTTGAATAAAAAGAAAACAAAATGTTAAATGTCTAATTGAATGGACTGTTGGAAAAGGTGCATAGAAAGGTCTAGCATGTGAACTCCTGTGAAGCAAATGCCTTTGTTTCCAAACAGGCTAGTGATAGCAAATATTTATTGACATTTTCCTTCCACAGGGGCGTTAACAATTATAATTTGCTAGTACGTACCTCATGAGTACTTTCAGGTTTTGAACAGAACATCTGTTGGTCAAAGATGAAAAAAAATGTTGAAAAAAAAAATCTATTTTTCCAGGGTTATGAATCTAACAGCATCACAAATTATCGCTAGGAAAACAGTTCAAAAGCCTGAACTTGCACTTATGGAAAAAGGAACACAGATAGAGGAAACAGATAAATATGCGTCGTGGTGGTAGGCTTTGTTTTCTGAAATGATATATTGTTCCGGAGAAGCGGTTAACAAACAAATTATTGTCTGTGTCCAATACAGCCAGATCTTTGGTTCCACCGAACAGATGTTAAGGTGAAGCAGATTAAAGCTTAATTCACAATAGGGCTGCACCACAGGAAAGGTGCCCTAAGTTTATCTATTGTTAAATAATATAATTTATCGTCTTAGAGGGCTACAGAGCAATTGCCGCTCCTTTTCTACTTTTTGAACAAAGATTTATAACATAGATAATCCCCAATTTTAGATATTTGCTGCAGGTTATATTTGAAAGAATTTCCCAAAAGACTGATAACCCCTTTTTTTCCTTAACCACAGTCAAACCAGTGAACTAATATGATGCCTGCTTCAAATAAATGTATTTGCTGCCTCTGTGCATGATAAGTTTTCATTTAGTCTATGATCAGCTGACAGTATGCAAGTTTGCAGATACCAGTAATTGAATACAGATAACCTTGGTTGTTGACCTATGCAGAGCCATGGCTGTCTAGTTTCCATTGTTTCTGTTTTTGCTAGTTGACACAAAACTGATGTGGGCTGAATTTATATATTAGCCATCCATTATAGTGGGAATTGCTTATCGTTGTGGATGGATATTGCAAGAAGTTTCTATTTATTTAACCTAATAAGATGGCAGAAATGAACCTGATTGGGCCCATTCAGGAGCAGAATTAACCCTTAGCAGCCCAGTTAATTTCTGCACGGATAACAGGGCATGTAAAGGATGCCTGCCTTATTTCTATTTTTTACATATTAATTTTATTTTCAGTTAGAGGGCTTATATCAACTGGCAAAGAATCTGTGCAGTATTGAGAAAGTGAAGTTGAGGGTTGCAAAAGACTGAAGCAGTGCTGGGTATCCGAATCCTCTTGGCTTCTGACTGCAGCAGACAACGGTTCTCCCAGACCTCACAGAAAGCTGTGCCTGAAAAGACTATGAGGTAGAGTTTGCCAAGTGATGACAAGGGCAGTGGCAGCACGGTCCCTGTGAGAACCACATCCTATAGGGCTCACAGTGTGGGCTTCAGATCATGTACTGGGAGCTGCTCCTCTGCAGGTGCAGCCGTCTCAAAGCTCCTGTACCTTGCAGCCAGCTGGAGATGCCTTTGGTTGGTTGCTTGTGGCCTGCTTGGTTTCAATTTCACCATAGCCACATATAATCGTGCAAATTTCCAGTTACCTGTGAGGTTATGCAGATCCAGAATTAAAAGCCAGGTTTACAACTACAGCATGAATATTGTAAATTGCTTACACAGAAGGTCCTGTGAAGGTGAGGGATGAAGGTCCTCTGTCACAGCCTACGATCCATTGGCTGGGGAAGAGCAGCAACAAAACCAGAGTGTCATTTCTTCTTTTCACTATTAAAGTGCTGTTCAAATTCGGACCTTGATGGCAAATCTT